CCCTGGGGTATAGTATATCTTCCGTACAGTTTTGCAGCGTTTTCATTCAGTTTTCAGGAAGATAAATGACTCTAAAAATGTGAGATGATCCCCTGGGGATCTGGGGATCAGAAGAAATACTGAATATCTAATCTTGTATGGCAGTAACTTAGCATCCGTTATGCGCAGGTATGAGCGTATAAGAACCCTCATAAGCACGATAGAGAAGAAAGAAGAAAGACATCTAGAGCGTGAGATATGGCGCTTCCCCTCTCAGATCCCCTCCCCTCCCCGCGGGGATGTACGTGCATACGGGCCTAAGTGATGTGCCTGCCAGGCACGTTCTATAATTACGAGCTCCTCAAGACATTGCAAGCCCCGCCCCCTTATCCAGTATCGCTTCATGCTGAAACCGGGATTTCAAAGAAAGTTTTAGATTCAAAGTCTAGTAGCGAATTTGCTCCAGTCAAGACAAAATTTCGGGCACTTAGTCCGATGTTGTTCCTTTTAGTAATGAGATTTGTTTTTTGAAAAGTCAAAGTTCAGCATCGATAATGCCCAACCGTGATCAAAACTTGGATTCAAAATAAACTAAAATAAAATTGGATTTAATCTAAATTCTCTTGAAACAAGGACAACATTCGGGGACGGGTTTTCGAAAAACTATGATTTAACATTTGAAAAGAAAAATGTATACTTGGAAGAGAAGGGGGTGCCTCCCCCCCCCTCTTCATTCTCGGAAGAGAGGAGACCCCCCCCCCACCGTCTCTTCCGAGAATCTCAATTTATGTCGCGATGTCGCGAGATTTTTAAAAGCTACTCCTCCTCCCCCCCTTCGAGCCGAAATTCTGGGTACCCCACTGAGGGTCAGGGGGGAGGGCGTGCAGGAGTTCCTAGCACCTTTCCTCGCGCCAAGTTCGCACCATCAATCGCACCCAGGAGGGTTCTAGCACCTCTGCATCTCAGAGGTCAGGGACCGCCCATTGCTCCACCCATTAACTGCCCTCATTGTGAGGTGAGCAAGTAGAGAAAATAGAGAATCAGAAATTGAAGTATTGAGAACGAAATAATTGGAAAAAAGAAGTTGTCATTTTATAGTTGAACTATATGGAAATAACTATGAACATGTGATTTTCACTGATTACACACTTCAGTAATAAGTATTATTATTATTATTATTAGTAACAGTATTAGTATTTATTCAAGTTAGTGTCGAAACTTTAGTATGAATGCAGCGCCCAGTTTTTTTTTCAAATTGGCGGTTACCAGTTCAGATATAAAAAACTATCTCTAGCAACAAATGTTGCCACTCTCTGGATAGCTCGATTTGAAAATTTGATTGTTTAGAATGAAAAATCGGCTGCTATTAGGCTATTAACCGCTCCAAAAGTTCGCGCTGTTTTTTAGACCCATACTCAAAAAACAATGAAAATAGACAAACGTTGTAAACAATATTCGGTGCAAAATTTCTTCCTCTTTCCAACGGTTATGTTTTCGTTGTGACTATTTCGATGAGCACTGAGATAATCGCCGAAAACTAGAAGCCATCATTTTTACCATGTCTAGCTTTCGCTAATTTTTAGAATTTTTTAAAGTTTTTGAAGGCGCTCTAATAACCACCTGATAAGGCAAACCTTTTGCAAATTAATGCGTTTTTTGCATTATTTCAACCCCCTCTTTAGAATTTTGCTGAATCAACTCAAGAGAGCATTGAATTTTGAAAAAAATTGCGCCAGAAAGAGGAGGAAAAAATGCATCGAATGGTACCTAAACTGTTCAACGTCTGGTTCTGCAAGGTTAGAATGAGCCAAATATAGAATTTGATCACTTCAGAGAATAAATTTTAGTAATTCTAGAAAGCATGCCAGAGAGATGCAAAAAGTTGCATTGATTTGCAAAAGGTTTGCCCTATCAGGTGGTTATTAGAGCGCCTTCAAATACTCAAAAAGAAAATTCTAAAAATTAGCGAAACTTAAACATGGTAAAATGATGGGCTCTAGTTTTCGGCGATTATCTCATTGCTCGTCGAAATAGTCACAACGAAAACATAGCCGTTGGAAAGAGGAAGAAATTGTGCATCGGATAGTCCTTACAACGTTTGTCTATCTTCATTCTAATTTTTTTGAGCATAACTAACGCTGGTAACCAAGATTTTGTGAATTTATCTGCACTCATTCGCTGCTTCTAATGTTTGAAAGGAAATTGAATTCGATTAGCAATATTTCTCGAATTGATGTCCCTTCCAGGTTTCTCTGAAGGTGCTAATCACTCCTGCAAGGAAAGTCGGCGAGGCTTTGGGAACTCCTGCCACGCCGCCGGGTCAGGGGTACGGATGTAGGATTTAGAGCATGCGCACAAATTCGAAAACATGATCCAGGGCTATGTAGCATCAAATAATTATTTCGAAAAACTGCTTAGTAAAACATGTCTGAGTTTTGCACTGACATGCCCACAGAAAAAACTAAAGATGTCAAACTGCATAAAACTTTGTGTAATGTATGTACCTTATCAAGCGGTTTCGTAGACTGAAACGCCAAAAGACTCGTTTCAGCAAGCTGAACATGAGTCTGCGTTTGTCTCTAACTAAGATTCGTCCATTTGAGAAAAGCTATTGATAAGAGAAGTCATGACAAGGAGGAGAAAAAGGTAGGAGCAAACTGTATTCTCCAAATTCTACCCACTTATCCCATACCACTGCATAACTTTTACTGCGAAGGACGATAAAAAAAATCAATCAAACTCAAGATGCGCATCAATTTGTCAATTTTCAATTTTTGGAAAAAACAGACTTAGCATGTCAGGCTATGTAAGAATTGTTCAGAACTCGACCCAGCCATTCCAAACACGCTGTATATCAGCCTTAAACGCTGACTTCAAATATATGTTTATTAACTGCCAAGCGAATCTGGACGAGTTATGAGCGTTCAAATATGAGAAACTATTCGAGTTCCAAGAAATATACTTCTTTGAAAGGCAGCCTGATGGCGCGAATTTACGGTAATTACTGGTGATCTAACCACAAGGAAGGAGCAAATGCAGCAAAAAACTAAACATGCGTTTTGGAAACGTATTTCGTGGAACATGTGTCACAGAACACTCAACAGATTGCGCATTTGAACGCTGATAACTCCATCACGAAGAGCTTTCCATGTGTCTTTCAATCCTGGCATGTTATATATTTGTGTATGTTATGACTTAAATCACTTCTATTACTTCTATTACTTTTACTGCTCATACTCCGTCTAGATAGTCGCTGGCAGACAATGAACATACTTTTGAAATCAGCGTTCAAGGCGAATCCGATGATATATAGCTTGCTGGTATGGCTGGGTTAAGTTCTGACCACTTTCGAGTTCGGTGAGTTCGGTGAGGTGAGTTCGCAACTCAAATAACCATTTTCATTAAGACGAAGACAATCTTCGTAATTCAGAATTTGTAGCCAAAAGCAAGAAGATGAGAGTGAAATAATATTAGGTTGCCTCATAATTTTTTTCAATTTTGATTTCTAACTGAATTGTAGCTTCTCAATTCCAGTTAAGAATCAGTGTACTATTCGATAGAGGAAAGCAAACTCTATTAGATGACTTGTAATCGTGGACACCAGCTTTCGTACACCTCGAGCTAGAAGCCAAAATCTAAGAAGTTCTGGATGCTCAAAATTGATAAAAAATGTATTTTTGTTTAAAAGAGACTTATATATAAAACAAGACTTACTTATAAGAATTCACCACTACCTCAAGCATATACACTCACATCAGACTTTCATAAATGCCTTTACTGCATTTTGTTTCTTAAGCCAAAAATTGAGAAAACAAAAATTTTCATGCGCTTGAAAATGCTGCTTTGTGCCCACATAAGCACATGTATGCTACAAATCTTTAGAAGTATAGCCGCAAATTTTTGATTTATACAAGCTCTAGATTCCGAGAAAAATCAATTTTAACATCAAAGACCCAAGCAACAAAAGCTAACTTTGATATGGAAAACTAGCTCTAGCGGGAAGCTGAAATTCTACGATTATACTCCCAAAAGCTTGTAGTATATGTTTACCTGTTTGGGAACAGCACAGTATCGCTTTTTCAAGGCATGAAAATTTTCGTTATTTCAGTTTTTAGCTTAGAAAAAATGCAGCAAAGGCATACATAAATGTCTAATGCGAACTGTATGCGCGTGACTAGTGGGGAATCCTATAAGTTCCTTTTCCAACAAAGACAAAAAATTTTTTCGATTTTTTGAGCATCCAGAACTTATTAGATTTTGACTTCTAGCTTGAAATTTATCAAAGCTGGGTGCATATGCTTACATACCATGTTATAGTTGGAATTGAGAAGCTTAAAATATATTGCAGGTAGAAATCAAAACTAAAATAAGTTTGAGATAACCTAATATTTTCATACAAGAGTTAGTACTCTTAGTTTTTTTTCAGCGCAATTTGCCACTAAAGGCATATCGTAGTAACAATATTTCAGCTTCAAATTATGATTATTACTACTTTTCTCACTTAGGGCACCCCAGCTGACTAGCGTAGAAATCATAGAAATTGGACTAGCGTTCGACTAACTGTAAGGAAGCAGAAAATAACAAAGCTCCAACTCTTGTCATTTTGGCTCAGACTCAAAAAATAAAATTGTGCCGAGTTGAAGAATTTATCGCTTGAGTTTTAGAGCTCAGAAGAGCCAAAATAGCGCAAAGCGCACTTTCATCCTTCTCACTCTGCTTTCTCAAAAGAGGTAGCAAAGTGAGAAGGATGAAGGTGCGCTCCGAAAGATGTCGACAGCGCCCGCAGTCAGTCTTTGCTAGAATTGACTTATAGATGCTAAGTTCTGTTCAAAAGCATTGTTCATTGAAAGTTCACAAAAAAAGCATTGTTGCGATAGTCAAGTGCCCTCAATCCAAAAATCCAAAAGTCATTCGAAAAGAATAAATTTAGTACGATTTAGTACGATACAATTAAGCAATTCACTCAAGCGTCCATCAAATCCTATAAAAGGCTGGTGAGTAAACAAGCAGCAGACAAGCCAATGCGTTTCTACATTTTCTTACTCGCTGTGAGTTCGAAGTATTTGGTTTTCACGCTTTGAGATATTAAATTTTGGTCAGGTTCTGGTAGATTCGGCGCTGTCGCGATCTCAAACGATCGATTGCAAAATTGAAAAATTCCAAAAACATATAAATGATAATGAAGAGTGTCGGGATGCCGTGTCCATTCTTGGCGCATTTCCAGAATCAAGATCAACCACGGAAAAGGTCAAGAAATATTTCGAGGGAAGCTCCTTTCAAGCGGTTGGTCTGATGTATTGCAATGCTATAACTTATGTTCATACAAGAACGCATAAATTGACTTGATAAGCTACCATTTCATTCGGAAAAACATAAATGCGAGAAAATATTGAACAACAAGCGTTTTCATTCGATATTTTCTACTAATAAGCAAGCAGGAGTAGAAATGGAACCCAAGTGAAGCTAATATCACGGAGCCTTAATCTTTCAGTTTTCACATCGGAAAAAATGAGAAAACCTGAGAATCAATACTCAACACAAACCAAATCTTGCTTTAGACTTCTTCGCCTTCGTTGGAATATCCCGCCTGCGATAAGAATCGTAACGTGAACGTTACAGAAGTTTCTGGTTCCGCAATTATTACACTCACTTTCCCACGGTAAGCTCCAGAAAAAACTTTTTCAATGATTTTCAATGATATACAGAGGTAGACAAGGACATTTCACTTATTCTGACATGGCAAATCGTATCAAGGAAAGGCTGAGAGATGATGCGGTAAGTAAGCAACAGTTTTGATATACTTTCTTACAAATCATTGTACCTTTTCGCTTCAGTTAGCACCCTTTGACATGGGTAGAATGCTTGTCATGAATGAGTAATTCACCAACCGCAAGGACTATGCGACGCACGGCTAACACTGCTCGTCTTCGCAGCCACACAATTTTAATCTGTGCGCTCGAATCACCTATAGAGTACAAAATCAATACCATTCTAGTGCACGCGCGTCCAAACCAGCTTTTCGATCTGCTCAAAAAGTCTACGTTATGAACTTTTTCGTTAAATCCAGATTTGAATGGTATAATTCAGCGTAATGGACAGAAACAAATTATATATTTCAGAACATGAAGAAGCGAGGGAAAACACCGTTTTGTCTCGGTTGCATGCCGGGGCCAAAAAGCATACTCACATGTGTCATCACTTATGACCCGAGAAAAGCGAGGGGAAGAAGAAGGTTGCCAACTCCGACGGGAGGACTCCGCAGAAAGGAGCACCAGCACCAACACCAACAGCACCGCCACAGTGTAAGCCAACATACCGCTGACGAAAGATCAGCCTCAACTGCCGATCGCAACGGGGGAAGACAATCATCCGAACCAGGCTCACCTCGCGGTTCCCAGCTAGAACACAGACCATCTGCCGGTCCCAGTCCCACGGATGCGGAAGCAACACTCCATAGCCACGCCGTCGCTTCCCCTGAGACGGAACAGAAATCACTTGAGCCAGAAAGAGTACCCGAACCACTTGAGAAAGACAAAGCACCCCAACGCTCACCTACAGAGGACGACGACCAACATCTCACGCTTACCGAGAAAATGAATGGGGTAGGCGAACAGGATCCTGGTACCAGTTGCGAAGAAGGAAGCCAGTCTTCGACTTGTAAGAAAAAATCAAGCGACAGTCTTCCACCGACTCAAGGGCAATGAGATATCATCACGATTGCATGCACATGTTAGAATAAACATGTTTTAAAAATATTGTGACAGCAAGTAATAATAAGTAAAAGTAGGTTCCAACAAATTTGGCACATGTTGTGAGTATTATTACTCATCAATTCTATTAGTCTATTGATAATAATAAAGCGATGACTTTTAGGTATGTATATCAACTTGAAATTAAAATTATTTTTCGCTCGCAAATTGGGCTTGCAGTAAGCACATGCCAAAACTAGTCTCAACACAGTCCAAAAGATTTGCAGACAACAGAAATCGACTGTAGGAAAGCCACAATTTTCATCTAGTGTTTTGACACGTATACGCTTCGTTAAGCCTTTAGACTCCTTGCTTACAAAAGATGTGATAACAACCACGGAATGCAAAATTTTGACATCAAGAAATCAATTTTCAAATCATATCAGTTCTATGCTAGTGAAAGTGGAATTATGAATGTGACTGTACGAGCTAGAACAGATCCATTTCTGTGCCCTTAATCCTTTCCCTCAGCCGATAGAGATATCCTTAAAAAATACTATTTTACCAGGTTTACAGTGAAAACCTTAGTGTATCTTCAAAACTTTTCAATGACGAAGCCAAGAACTCGAAATGGTTACGAAAAGTGCACCAAATGCATACCGCCTCCGTCGGAGATTTGCGCTTCACGAAATTGCGCGGGTGATTAAGAGCTTGCTGGCACTTGAATTAATAAATGATACATTGTTTAGCTTGTGTATTACCTCAGAAAGTCCCAAAGCTCATGCCTATCACACAGAATAATGATAGACGAACACTTTGAGCACAATCGGCGCACCTATTTCATGGGAAGGTACCTGGGTCAGCAGCCCGGTATGTTCTGCGGCTAGACCGCCTATAAAACTAGTTTGATTGAAAATCATTTTGAAAGGTTGCAAGAAGCAATTGGAGATAACCAGTAAGCATCACTAGTTAGGTTTGCTCTATCTGCTTGCCTTCCAACCTCTCTCAAGAGTTAGAACAGCGCCTTGAAAACTACAGTAACAAGAAGTACAACCCTACTTTCGCAAATACAAGACGTACATCTTTCATTTTTCAATGCAGCTCGGCCGCACCACTGTGTCTTGCGAAAAGGTCACCCTCCCACACGTTATTTTGGATAAAGAGGAGTACATCAGAGCATTGGTCGCGAAATTCTTCAATGTATGCAAGGGAGGTCGTGATTAGAAAAAAGCAGATACGTCTTGTAGTCGTGGAATTAGGGTAAATTTAGGCAAGATGAATTTGGAATGGAGCATCCAGTAAATGTTCGGGCAGTACCCAAACTCGAAGAGTTTTGACTCACCGCTGGAAAAAGAAGGAAGAGTAAAATATTAGTCGATCTTTTTTCACTAAAGAATAAAAACGCAAAATGTCTAGAATTGCGTTCTGGCTATGAAATACACGACTTCCTGGTGTCTGGGAAGGACTGTCTTTTTTGCCTAAGATGATGTTGTACTACCGCGCATAAACTTTGTAGCAACAAGATTCCTCTAACGCTACAAACGCATAAGAAGACTAGCACCTTGCTATAAGTATGCTACACAAAATTTATGCTCACTCCTACTACACATAACAAAGTTCCAAAAAATCGCATGAAACCGTGTCTTCCAGAAGGGTAAATCATGTTTTTATCCAAAAAAGCACAAAAGCTACTGCATCCCAAGTTGGTTTTTTATATTTTCGCGCTCACAAAAGCTTGACTCTCTAAGCGCTACAGTCATTTGTACAATTACTTCGATGCAAATCGTAAAAATCCAATTATTCGAAAATAAAACATGAATATATTTGCTTTCAAAGCTAGAAAGTCAGACTTTTGATTCTCGAACTAAGTTTGAAAACCTGGAATAATCAAAAAAACGGGATGTCGAATAGACTTTGAAAACTCAAATAGTTCAAAAAAAAAGGGTTCTAGATAAAACTAAAAGCTTGAGTTATTGGATGTCGAGGTTTCAAACAGATATTATTTGAATGTTCAATTCGAGTTCATATAGACTTAGATTAGTACATGAAATATTCGAGTTTTATGCAAAGCCATACTGACCGGGCGGGTATGTCAGCAAATATTAAATATGGTCAATCTGGATAATTGAATATTCACTAGAATACTTATTCGAAGTTCGACTTCCAATGTTCGAATGTTATCGATATTCGTTCATGCGAAATTCTCTTTTCAAATATTTGTTTAACCGCTATTTTAACTCTCAAATTCATTTCATATTCATTCATGCTATAAAAAAATTTCGACCCGAAGTATACTGTGCATATATTGAGTAATGCCGAAAGTATCGCTCAAAGGACGCCACATTTGATAGGACATAGATTTATGAAAGATCTTGGCAGCATTCGATGTTCATAAACTGATTGCAGCATAGTCAATGAGCTCCTAAAATTACCAAAATCTGCAACCCACGCTTTTAAGATGCTCAAATTTCACAGTTTTTCTAAATTTTTAATTCAACCCTTGAAGGAGACCAAGTAACGAATGGATAGAGCAAACCCTGCAGGATACGAAACAATCTTTCTCTCCCTTCCATAGCTCGTCATAAATGTTTTGTGGAATTTCAAGTGATGCTACCAATTTCCATACCTGGTCAACCAAAACCTCGTAGATCATCAAAGGGAGAACAGCTCGGGTGCTAATCGAGCAGCTTTATTCCTCTTTCTGTTGGGTGTTTTTTGTTTTCGCTTGGAGGAGTCTCCAGGGATGAAATTATCACAAGTCATGCTTTGAAGGCACCTCAGCTTGCACCCGAAACACTCGAAATTTGATACCTAGGATCCGTAACCGCTCATTGCTTTGTAAAAATGTTAAACTGTAGTTCAAAGTTGGAAGACTACATTTGAAGTGTCAAATTTCAAAGATTTATTGGTGCTTGATGCAACTGTGGCTGAGTGGGCTTGCCAAGATTCGAGGATTGTAGTAAAAAATTATGCAGAAAGTTATGGAGAGCTATTGAAGAGAGAAAAAAGTTGTAAGTTGTACTGTATCCTGTAAGGTTTGCTCTATCAAAAATTCTGTTGATCGTCTCAGAAAGCACGGGTCGCAGATTTTGGTACAATACCGCTCACATTTATTGAAAAATAGACGCGAATGTATGGACATGTATGGACATGTACGGATATGTCCATACATGTATGGACATGTCCGTACATGTCCGTACATGTCCATACAGCCATATCTCGCTTCAGAGTGGACGAATTCTGAATCCAAAGCCACCGTTCGATTCAGCTCGGCGCAAAGAATCTTCAGATATATTGGAAGTGGGGGTACGATGTCTTCGATATTCCGTTTTCAGTTTTTTCAATTTGTTCCGCGGAGGTCCTTTCGCGAATATGTGAAGCAACGCCTACCCAACATAGAAGACTTTACTAAGTACTATTCGATAATACTGTTCTTGTAGAATATTTTGCGCTAAAAAGTAGACTCAGACTTCTTTTCAAAGGAGATAGAAGCGTTGGTGAATTTTTTAAAAAATCATGGGTTTTTAAATTCTACTCGCCATAATTTCCTTCGGAACAAGTATATTTTTGATCCGAAAACGGCGCCTTGCTCAGCTCATCAAGGCGAATCTTTTCATGTACACCATGCCCTTGATATCTCGATTTCAGCATTCTTAAATCTTTCTGAGGACGTCTTTTAGCGAAGGTGTAAAGCAGCGAGCATTGTCCCGAGTACATTCCAGCAAGGATTTTTCGATAGCACTTTTTCTGTAGATTATGATCTACAGAAAATCTTAGCATCGACTCATATCACAACAATTAGAGCTAAAATCGTGCGCAAAATGGCGATAGGAGCTAGATAGTAGCCGCAGGTTTCTTTTCAAAGGAAGTAGAACGGCGAGTGAATTGTGGAAAAATCTTGTCGTCCCAAATTCTACTCGCCATATCCGCAGGATACGAGGCTATCTTGCTAAGCAGATGTGAGTTTCGAAATCACCAGGTCGCACAACCTCTACGAGCAGGTTTTCCGATACGTTCGGGTTATTCCATTTTCTCTCGTTTTACGCTCCGGAAGCTCGCCGATGGTTTTTGGTCAAAATGTTGATGCTCTTGAATTGTAGGGAAACTTCGCTTATAGAGGTTTTCGAACACGCTCTTTACGAAAATCGTGGTCTTTGAGGATCACAGAGTCTTTTTGGAGAGATACGGTGAGGTGACTGGTGACTGTAACTGCAGCACGAAAGTGCATAATTTTGGCCGCACTTCTCGCGTATCTGTCAGAAACCTTGCCTGCTTGCTTCTCTCAGTCAAAGTTACTGGGAATTGTGCTATCGAATGGTGCATTACTCAGGCTCCAGTCTGTGAAATTTGCCGAGTTACGAGCCTACGAAAACACGTTCTCATGAATTTTGCCCAAAATGTAAAGATCGCACATCTCGTCGAAATTCTTCAGTGAGCGCTTGTACAACGCGCTGATCAAATCCTTTCACATTTCTATTCATTTATTTATTTATTCTATACGCTCTTGGCGTTCCATACAACAGAATGGAAAGCAGTCATTTATACTCTAACCGCAACGATAGTGCATCATTAGTTTAGGTCCAATCTTGATAAAAATGTGATGAAAGCTTGTATTTGACTGCTCTATGATTATAATTATCGGAATTAAATGATGCGATTCGTGGAGATGTACCCATGCCCCCTTTTGCCTGCAAAATAGTTCGATTTTAACAAGAAAACAAGGTTTGATGGTGGGTATATCATCTGACCCCACAAAACCAGTAGTGAGCCAGTGACTCCAAGTGAATTTCAATAAGGGTTGTAATGATGGATAGCTCATACGTGAGCGTGATCAAGTTAGGTAATTGTAATCTATGGAGATGGCAATCATGCCAACTCATTTGCCAGCAGAAGATGCTCTTGCAATAATAAAGCAAAGCGGGGCTCGGTTGGTGCAGTAATACCAATCAGCCTTGCCCAAATGATTCCGGGGAGAGTCCAATGACTCCGAAAGAATATCAAATAGTTTCACTTTT